GTGACATCGATTTAGAAGAGATTAATGTTGATTGTTCAGGATCACTCTACGACGTGGTGGTGACGATGCCTTATGCCGTGCTCTCTATGTCGATTCTTTATGGCCACTAGTTCATCTCGGGACTCTCAACTCCTGAGTTTATTTTCTTCTTTTAGTTTTGTTCCTTGTGTTTAATGTTTACTAATTCAGGTCTCGCGTACGAGTCTCCATCGGGTAATGATGACGGTGCTTTACGACGATCAATTACGACTCCTCAGGATTCAAACCCCTGAGTTTCTTTTTGTTTTTCTTCATTTCGTTTTTAATTTCGTTTAGTTCAGGTTCGTGCGTTTGGTTTCGTCGTCCGTTTCCGTTGGTGCTTTACGTCGAGTGATTTATGCCGTTAGTAGTTCACTAGTTCAATTCAGTTTTATTGTTGTTACTAACCTCAGTAGTTATTTCGTTATCGTTATTGATGTTTCGCACTAACCCATTTTATCCATTGATGTTTTATTGATGTTTTAGTAGTTCAGTTAACATTTGAGAATTAGATTATCATTTATTGAGTTACTAACAAGTAGGGTTAGGAAGTTCGAGTCACCAACTAAGACCTTAGCCGTGAGACCACATTACTATATCAAAAAATATATTCTTTTGGCTTAACGGGTTCTCGACAGCTGCCGAGCGCTAGGTCGCCAGGCGGGGGCCTGAGACTGATGCCCACAAGGGGTTCTTTTGCGGCGGGAGTGTCGCGTAACACGTCGATCGCTCCAACAGAACCCTGGGCGCGCCGGCGCCTGCGAAGTACTGCCGACATGACCCAGCCTGATCTTCCGTGATCGTGCGGCAACGCACGGGCTGTTCGCAACAGCACCATCACGGCCTGGCCCGGTGTTCCCTGTTCGTCGTCACGGTTCTTCCCCCATCATCGTCGTTCGGCAGACTCGCAGGGCGTTAGCCCTTAGAACTTAATCTAATGATGTTATTCCTAATTCAAATCTATTCTGTGGTCAATCGGCGGGTCGAGGAAGGCGACCCGACGTGAGTCAGTTTTATTATGAATTACTAACATTTTATTTGTTTGTATTAGTTCATTAAGATAACTTTAGTTACGACATAAAACTTATCACTATTTGTGTTCGCGTAGTGTAGCAATAGGGCTTAGTCCCAAGTGGTATACATTCAATAGTCGTTCACATCGTGGTTGTTTCAAGATAGTTTGGTTGAAGTAGTTCAGGGTTACTTAGTAGTCGGCGCGGGACTGCTAGGCTTTGGTCGTTTGTACTTTCGCAGCAACGTGGCAACCTGGGTAAATCCTTCAAGTCCCGTAAGTCCGGTCTCCTGGTCCCACCGATTCGCAACAACTGTGTTAGATACGCTGTCGCAAGAAACGACAGCAACAAAGGAAAGGCTATAGGTGAATGAAGATGTTCTTTAGGTATAGAAGTTACGAAATGTGTTCACTATAATGCAGTCCATATCGCATGTCATCATATACACTGCGTTTCATAAATATAGGTCCACCCTAATTTTTTGCTATTCCAAAGTTGCTGTGCATTTTTGGAAAATGCCGCTATTACCAATAGTTTTCCCCATAACGAAAAACCTTGATACTTGATTTCTGGAGAAATCTCGATTCAGAATTATTAAAATATCTTCCTTAGAACGTATTTTCACCGTTTCGCAAATATGACTACACATCACTTGTCGAGAGATTTTACTATAACGAAAAAACGTCACGAATTTTCAATAATGGGATGACCCCCCAATAATCATAAGGAACACAATAATACGTTTTGAAATGCTGGTAGCCAAATTAGCTATTACAGTAGGATCGAAATTCGTCTGGGCGCCGATGATCGACCTTTTCAGCTTTTCGGCTGTTCCATTTTGCTTTACTTTGCTGTGGAACTTTATAACAATTAAGGCCCAATGATTCTCTATTGGAATCTAATTCAGATAACATGGTGGCCACCAGATAACTGCCACATTTTTTCCTGCAATTCCATCTGGCGCGGAAGGACCGGCATGGACAGCCGCGTTATCGTGCGTGAAAATCAAGGATCGAGGGGATGCTGTTGAAAAAATGGTAAAACTCGCTTCAAAGAACTTCACGATACCCTATGGAATCCTTGTGAAAGGAAACAAACATGAAGCCGCTCAGTCGTTCAAAGGTGCCTTAAAGGCACAACTCAGGCACGGATTTGCGGGGTAAGAGCGATCGATAACGGATGTGAGTGTGCATTGTTGAATGGAAATGGAAGAAACAGCGAAAAAAACCCGCGATGAAGCCTAAACAGGAACCTCCACTCTTCCAGTAACATCTCGCCTAGCCTTCAAGGGGAGGTGCAACCGGACGAGTTTTCCGAGGTTGATATTACCATGCCGCAGACTGTGGCATTTTGCCAGCAATCACTGCGGCAGGGTTCTCACGTTCGTCAGCTGATATTACAATCAATTCTTTCATTTATTGTCCAGTGTTCCCTCTTCTCTCTGTTGTTTTGGCGTAATGCACTATAAAAGTGGAAAATGAAACAATTTTGTTTTATAGTGTGTAACTGTGTTTACAGTGTTTAACTTTGTCTAATCCGTCGCGGTTGTTATTCCTTTTTACCTTGTGAAGCAATTTGTCGATAGCATATTGCTTGTTTCTATGCGTTATAGTTGGTTTTATTTCCTTTTTTTTTTGGTCGTCAACGCGTTTTACTTCCAGAGTGACGATCATGTCTGAGCCGTTACTGTGACGACGCGAGATCTTGCGATGTTTCAACTTTTCCCATGTGAGTCAACATTAATGCTATTTCATGTATACCGAGTGGTTGAAATGAAAACGTTTTAGGCCAATTTGTGACAGATGCTAATAGCACTGTTGTGTAGGCGCTATATTATACTGTGGTATGTGTATGTTATAGGGTCCGTTAGGATATCAGTGGTTATCATTTCAGCATTTTCGTGTGATGGAAGTTTTGTTTTCAGGCAGACACAGTGTGCGAGGTGCTCAATGATGACTCAGTTCACATCGGATCGTTGGAGTGGAAACTGATGTGTAGGTGATGGTGTAGAAGCGGCATTAGAAAAGATGGCTGACCGACATTTCCAATCACCCGCGGAAGAGGTTGTGAATAACAGTTTTCGCGGTTCGTTTCTTTGATTATCATATCCTTTCTCCAGGCTTTTAAATACTCTCACCTTGATTGTGCTTTTCTTCCAATTAAATATGTTATCTTTATTTCAGATACGAAATTTTGAAAATACTCCGGATGCAACTGCAAACAAGCTGTATGAGCTCACACCAACATGACACAGCTAAGGCAATGAAGAAATCGGTTAATATTAATGTTAGACAATGTGATATGTTAGACAATGTAATGAAATTGGATTACAAACGTTTCACAATGAACGATCAGAAAGAAAAAGGGCAGCAACACAAGCAAAATAGTATTCAGAACGGCTCATAACGCAGCAGTACAGTAGAAACAGCTCCAATCTTAACTTTTGCAATAGATAGTTTTCGGCAGTCTTCAAAAGCGGCTTCATCGATGAGGTTCAGCAGTTAACATGCGGATGTTACACATCTTTCAGCTGGATCAGCAGCTATCCCACGCGTTTCCTGAATCGTAAATTTATACTGTCTGCACATGAATTTGCACAAGTATCAGCCTATGAACAACTGACTTCTCAATAGAAACCCCATCTTTCAAAAAAAAACTAGTATCGTCAATGATCTGTACCTTGTTGAATATTTTAGCTGGCGCGGTGACACCATTCTGACCAGCAAGAATATGGCAGCAGTGTGATGACCAATTCTTTATTTCTAGCATAGTACCCGCAATCTGTGACATTGCATAATCATTTCTCGAGGTTCCCCATTCTCATCCTCGAACACAGACGTAACCTAAATTTAGTGAATTTGAAGAGCTACCAAGCTGCTTGTAACATACGACCAAGCAATGAAATAAAATGAAAACAAGAAATGCTCGCAAAGTGAAAGTAAAAGACAAAAAGAAAAAATTCATACCTTCGAAATGAACTCGTAGACAAAAGAGGAGGCATCGGGCTTACATAGTTACGCGATGTTCTCAATAGAGAATTCAGTAAGATCGTTTGCAAAAAGCCGGTCATCAGAAAATAGCGAGCAGTTGAATCTGGAGAAATAACGATTAATAGTATTCAACGAAAAGCAAACGCAATAATCTCACATCTGCAGGGATGTCACACCCACCTGGATTTGCAGCAAACAATGCCAAACGTTCAATCAATGCAACCAGGATGAAAACTTGCAAATGTGAAATCAATGGATGCAGCACTAAATTCTAATATCTTACTCACTTACTTTCAATGATACTGACATGATACCATCAAATGAGTAAACAAACAAAACAGCACGTCTATTCTCAAGTAATGAAACACGTTACAGAAAACGACTCCTGGGGCCGTAAGGCATGCTTCCCCGAAGAAGTGGGGGACGAAAACCCCATTAAAATGTCGCTATCCCGACAGGGATGTCCTGATAAAGGACCAACATTCAATGTAAGGTTAAAGTAACCAAGCATTCAAAATGAAGAAGCAGTATCGTTCAAACCTGTAAGTCTTGTAAGGTCCTTGTCCCTGGAAGATACTAGAAGGATAAGACTTCTTAAATGAATAAAACATTCAACTAGTTTCGCGCATGTTCCCATTCACCACGTTTTTCTCATTGCCAACTTTTCGTAGCTACTGTAAATGTGTCCTGTGGTCCACGCCCCATACCTCCTGGCTACTCCCCAATCAACAGTGTCACAACAAAATCGTTTCTTAAGATTGTATTTTTTTTAAAATTTCGGACGACAAGAAGAAGGAGAAGCGATGGAAATATATAAACTTTCAAATACACATGATCTCCTTGAAACTCTCAACCCCAAAGCTTTAGTTAATTCCGGAAAAAACAAGATTTTCGTTTTGATAACTCGTCACATTTGAATCTCAAAATTTGCAGGTTTCGTAGTACGGAGCGGAAAAAATTCCATTGCGCTGCAATGCACCGAAGGCTTTCAGATTTGGTTTTTTCACAAGGCAGTGATGACTATCCAAATGCGCCCCTTCATAAGCCGTATGTAGAACCGAAAGAGCTTGATAACCACTGAACAAGTGCTAACGTTCTCGTTGAAGAACATTTTCCCGCGAACATTGCTACAACGTCATTCGAATACCTTTTTTGTAAACAGCGAGTTCCCGGCCTTTATTGATAGTGCACATGTTTTCTGCGCCGATTTCTGTGACGACGATCAAGCGTAAGCCACAGTGATATACAGGATTCCGGCTATCTGGTATGTATTAGGACGACTTGTGAAGTTCAAAGTTGCAGTTTGGGCTTTCCCTCAGATTCCAGGCAGTCTATTTCCTTAGAGCTTTCACCTACAGAAGATGGCGAACATCGTAGGATACCTACACATTGTCAGGGAAATCAGTTCTGACCCGTGGTAATCACAGAATTTCCATCGAATGGAAGTCTCGGCATGGATCATCGAGTGCGCAATTGTTCCGGATCTCGAATTCGCGTGCTCTTGAAGTATTGTAAGGCTTGGGCGTGATTCAAACAGAATTATTCCTCGCATATTCCATCCATCCCATTTTCCTTATGTGTTTAGCTATCTGGCTATTTGAATCTTTGTCCTTTCTCTCTGCTCTTATCGTTAGGGTTGGATGGAACCCGAAGTAAGTGATCGCAACTCGCCAAAATTCTGCCCAATTTTTTCAAACACACTATATAGTACAAAGTAAGCCATTGGACTGCAGTGCAACAAAAAATGAATGTAGGAATCGCATCGATAATTGCTCATTGCGTGCCGTTATGAAGCCTACCGCATAGATAGGGGTGGAGTTTGGAAGTGTCTGAATGCATTCAAGTCCCTATGTAAGCGAGAGTGAACAAATAGCAATATGCAGTCATGCATTATTATGAGCTTTGCCTGGCTCTCATTTTCGGCTATGTGATCTATAAACTGCCCGTTAGGAGCAACCAGATCTGCGGTGAGTTGAACAAGGTTATTTTTCTCATTTGGAGGCTACTCAGGTGTACAGTTCGTTGACAGTCAGGGTTTTTTTTACAGTTACTGATGAGAATCGTCATATGAACGAAAATTAAAGACTGAAAGGGTCATTCTAGGGCAGATTTCACAGAATCAGCTGCGGTGAAAATTTCGTGACACAACTGTTGTAATACTCATCTAGTAGCACTGCGTCGTCAACATAAGCTAGAACGCCGCTTCGATCTCAACTTTACATCCCACACGCGCGCGGCGGAATGCCTTCGTATGTATTGGGGCTTCCTTCAATGAATTATATGAACTAACGAGTACAAGACCAGAACACATCCTGCCGGTCACCGCGAAACTCGGCGACTCGCTGATCCGGCATCCCCATGTGCAAGTAGAATGTATCAGATTGTGCGTTCAAAGTTAAAAAAGCAACAACTGGTCCAATCGAGCAAAATCGCCTCGCAATCGCTTTCTCAAAGCCACGAGTCAGGATTAGGTCCCAAGAGCCAGTCCCTTCTAGAGTGAAGGAGAGGGGTCTCCAAGGGCAGTAGGGAGGACACTGTCGCGACTCAAAAGTTCGAGGCACTGGCGCTAAGACCTTGCATTGTGTGCTGCCGTGCTGCCGTGCTGCCAGCGTTATCAACCACGGCACACGTAGTCTTCTGCGTCCTCTCACGTACGACGTACTACCTCGCAGTCTCCCTCTCCGCAACACTGTCTCTCCGTCGTACTACGGCCGGCCTTCTAAGGGAAATTTAGTGTTTTCTATGGCTTGCCTAAGTTTCCGTAATAACTTCGTATAGCATACAATCCGACTTAGTGTTTTTGAGTTATTTATCTGTTCCTCTATTTTATATTTTACCAGATTAGTCCCCCGTCAACCGCCGGGACCTTCCTTTCCTGCGCAAGCTTTCTATCCTCCGCTATGGTCCCTTCCTCCTGTGACACCAACACCCTGGAAGTGACGCGTATGCAACACAATGGTGTTTCATACAGTAGAAGGGACACAATCATGATATGACGGTAGATTTTTCGCTTCCCTTCCTCATCCTCCCTTCCTCTCTCCACTGCCCTCCAGCTGCCACTGCAGCACCATGTGGAATGAACGGAAGTGTGCTAAGCAGGTGTTTATATAGCCCTAAGAGTGTTATCACAACTATCCTACAAAACATTGATATCTCAAATCCTGTAAGCTACCCGATTTGTTAGCGGTTTGTTTATCCCATGAGCTTCCTTCTCACTCACTTCATTTTGCGGACGGACACACATACATACATACACACACACACACACACATACAGATACACAAACCGACACACAAAGTTAGCGCTTTATAATAGAAGGATATAAACCGCTACTTGGTGTTTGGTTTATATGTATGTAGTATGTATGTCCGTCCACAAAATGAAGTGAATGATAAGGAAGCGAATGTAATAAACAAGCCGCTAGCAGAATTGGGTAGCTCGCAAAGCTGAGGCTATCAGGCGATGCTGTGATATGTGATTACGAAAATGTGATACACCCTTACGGCTTCATGAACCCCTACTGAGCACACTTGCGGTTATTCTACCAGTATTGGGTCCGCTTGCTACCGCGAGCATGTCCACGTAGGGTTCAGTAAAACGGAGGAGAGCCGGGCTATTGTATTGAGCACTTACTGCTTTCAATGGATTTGACTGAGGATATTAACGAAAGCTGATGATAACGCAGTAATTTCCCATAGTTCGTTAATGCAAATGAACACCTATCCATCTGAAACTGACACTGTCTATCGACTAACTAGTTTTGGATACTAATACAATTGTTTGGGTTGTTTGTTATCGGCCTTCGACGTAAATATCCACCATGCTCTGATGTAGGATGGTCAGTGGTCGAATAATTTCATATGGCCGGTGATAATACAGAAAATATTCATGTTTATCGCTAGGTTCCACAAATGCCGACGTTCAAGATCTCGGGAGATAGCATCGAGTGCATCACGCAGACTCATGAAGAAATGAAATGTTTCCTTATCGCGCATCTGGATAAGAAGCTCAGCGGCATTTGCGTTTCAACGCTTCTTATGAGCTCCTATCAGTCTTTATCGCTTTCTGGTCCACCTCGAATACGTCCTATCCCCATCCTCATTATTATATCTCAAAATCAAGTTCTTATGACGGCAAGGCGGCGCGGATGAATTTTCGTAAATCAACTAGACAATTGACCGATAAAGTAGGATGGTGCTGCAGTGTCAACTGAGGGCGTGGAGAGTGTAAGGGTGAATGTGAAAGGGAGGAGAAAAACCGATCATCAACAAACCTGAAGTGAGTTAGATATTGATACTTCTATCTACCGTCAAATCATTACTATGGGGCTGACGCTCTGCACTATAATCAAATTCCTTACTTGTTGCATACACAGTCCGTCCCGGTGATTGATATCGAGTGTGAAATGGCCTCCTGCAAACATCAACACCGCAAGAAAGCAGGAAGCAGAGCAAAGACCGTAAAACTACGCAGGAACGAAGGTTCGTGTGGTAACTAACTTAAATCTGGGGTTGTTTCGTACAAACATGTAACTTTTGCAATAGCGAGAGAGATCTAGATAGACTGGTCCGAGCGCAAGCTACAAGTAGTATATTAATTTCAGGCCCTATACGGATTGAAAGCTACGTGGCGATTAAAATCCACGCAGCAGCACGGCTTTGAGTAGGCATGACTGGCAATCTGTTTGACACTGTGTTGCAACCTATAACCTTTGTTGACGGACGCCTTTCTGTACACAAGGGATGGGCACAACGTCGTCCATTTCAAACTCTTTCCCCTCGCCACAACCCATCCTTCTCTTTCACGAAAATCAGTTTCTATCGCGAGTGCTGCCCTTGAAGGCAAACTCCGGGTTGAAACTGGTGTATAAGAGGCGCACGCTAATAAGTGATGGATGAGCTGCGAATGAGATAATCAAGTTGGAAAAAAAGCAAGAGAAGCCAGAAGAAACGCTAGAATTAAGACCTTGACCTCCAGCAGGGTCGGATGTACATACTACGACGACGAGACAATGCGATCAAAGAAGACAGGACATGTGAGAGAACCGCCAGAGAAGGGCGCTGATCTCTACATTAATCAAGTGGGCGGAAAGTGTTGCGATAAGGGGACCGATTGCGAGCCCTTAGCGAATTAGCGCTGGAGGACCGCAGCGCACAATTTGTGCGACGGGCGTGGCAGCTTTGTAGGAGAGGACTCACAAAGATT